AAGGGGGCTGAGAGCTGCCCCCTTTCCCTCCCTATGCCCACCCCTGTGGCTCCCTTTTAGAGCAGGAAGGCCTCAGCGCAGCGCTGTCCTGTCAGGACACAGGGGACCGAACCCCTCATCCCTCCAAGCACCACCTTACCTCCCTCTGCGTCAAATCCTTCCTTCCCCGGCACTGCTGTGCTGCTGCCCACCGGGCAGTGCGAGCTCTGGGCCGGCTGTCAGCAGTGGGAGAAGTGGTCAGGAGTGCTGTACCTCCTCGCAGAGTATATCTGTATCTCCAGACAGCCCTGCTCCCTCACTGCGTCCTCATCCCCTCTCTGACCAGCTGCCCCAGGCAGGGTGCATGGTCCTGGGGTGGGGCGAAGGAAAGCAATGCTGGGACACGGCGTGCCCAAACCTGCCCCCGTAGCGTGGCCTGCTCAGCACTGCCCACAGAGCCATTGGCGGCTTTAGGGTTTGTCCAGCGCAAGAGGTGTGAGTAACCTGCCTGGACTCTGCTCCCTGGGACTCACGTCTCCCTCGTCCCTGCATTTCTTCACACCTGTTTTCCTGAGATCGAGGCAGCTGTAAGGCTGGAGGGGGGGAGGGAGAGACCGAACCCGATCCTGCTGCTCGGTGAAAAGAGAGGGGAGACAGCTTATTTGGGAAAGCTTAGCCTACAGACCGGGGGCAGAGCATGGCTCTGCATCAGTGTGCTAGAAACTGGCAGGAGCTGCTGTTGGTTAGACCCTGCTTTGAGTTTCCTGGCAGAGGTGAGGTGCAGGGGGGTGTGTCCCACCCTGCCAAACGAAACCTCTGCTCCCCTCCAGGTCCTGGCTGTAGGGAGAGGCAACGCTGAGCCCCTCAGCTCCGGATCATGAGCTGGCTTTGCCACTGGGAATGCCAGGGCTGAGGGCTCCAACCTCCAGGGAAGAAAGATGCTCCAGACTAGCAATTACAGCCTGGTGCTGTTCCTGCAGTTCCTCCTGCTTTTCTACGACCTCTTTGTCAACTCCTTCTCAGAGCTGCTCCGCACAGCCCCTGCTGTCCAGCTCGTCCTCTTCATGTGAGTGCTGGGGGAGCGTAGCAGGTAGCACAGTGGAGCAGGAGGGCTGGGGTCTCACCATGTCCCTCTCCTCCTGCAGCATCCAGGACATTGCTATTCTCTTCAACGTCATCATCATCTTCCTCATGTTCTTCAACACCTTCGTCTTCCAGGCCGGGCTAGTCACTCTTCTCTTCCACAAGTTCAAAGGGACCATCCTGCTGTCGGCGGCCTACCTGGCACTCAGCATCTCCTTCCACATCTGGATTATGGTAGGCTGGGGCGGGCTTGGGGCTGCCGGCTTCTCCTGAGGGCAGGCAGCACAGGCAGCATGGGCAGTGGTTTGCTTGCTTTGCTGGCCACAATCCCCTGCTCGCTTCAGTCCCTTTCTCATGAGAGAAAGGCCACAATCTACCACTGCCTGGACGTTTCAGTGGCCGCCTGTGATTTTCTGCACAACTCCCCTGTACGCATCAGGCTAGAAGGGAGCTGCCCCATCCTGGCCTCTTCCCTACGGGCCATGACCTGCTGGAAAATCCGCTTTCCCCAGGGAGCACCCAGCAGCTCCAGCTCTGTGCTGGCACAGAAGCCCACGCTGGAGTAATCCCCACTAAAGTCTGTGACAGCAGCTCCTGTTTTACCTGGGATTAATCCCCAGCAAACACCAGCGCTCAGAGCCTCGGGGCAGCCCCCTCCCTGCTGGCATCAAGCAGCATCAAGGGCTGTCAGAGGTCCTGGCTCTGTCCAGGCAGCGTCTTCCCCTTCTCTCTCTCATCTGAACGCCCTCCTGTCTCCTGCCCCAGCCCTCAAAGGAGCAGCCCACATGCCTGAGGCTGTGGCTCTTGTCTCCTCCTCCAGCCTCTGGGTGAGAGTCTGTCCCCAGCCCGCTGCCCTGGGGCAGGAGAAGTACCTTGAGCTGGGCTCGGGGCCGCCTTGTGCCAGGGTACCAGAACAGGCAGTCGCACTGGTGCTGCCCATGCCGTCCGGGCAGCGGATTGACAAGGATTTGCAAGGATCTGAAGTCTGAAGCTAGAATAGGTCCCGGCTCTCTGCCTAAATCCCCTGAGCTGCTTAACCTTTGGGGTGGGGAGCTTCTCCCCCATCCGGCAGCGTTGCCCCTGGCCCATGCACAGCAGCACACTGGGCTGAGGGAGCCAGAGGCATGGGGTGCTGCCCCCAAACTAATGCACGGGTTGTTCCTGGCTCCTGTCTGTCTGTCTGCCTCAGAACCTGCGGTGGCGGAATCCCAGCCGCTTTGTGTGGACCGAAGGCCTGCAGACCCTTTTTGTTTTCCAGCGGTTGGGTAAGGGCTCGTGGTTGCAGGGTCCCTGGCGGGATTCTGCCCCTTTCGGGCAGCCTGTGGGGGCAAAGGTGGTGTCCCGCCCTCAGCCCCCTCTCTCCCTCCCGCAGTGGCCGTGCTCTACTGTTACTTCTACAAGAGGACGGCGGTGCATCTGGGCGACCCCCTTTTCTACCAGGACTCACTCTGGCTGCGCAAGGAGTTTGCACAATTCCACAGCTGACGGCTCCCCTCGGGCTCTGGGCAACCCACCGACTCCCCTCAGCTCTCCGGCAGCCCCCGATGTCTCTCCTCACCTTGCTGGTCCCACTGAGGACAACTCCAGCCCAGCCGCCTTCATCCTCTTCCTCCCAACGACCAGCCCTTCCACCGGCACTGGCACAGCTCGTGCGGATGCCGGCAGTTGGTGGGAGGCTCATGGTGTGTCCCGGCTGTACGGTGGAAGGGACCATCTGGGCACCACAGCCCCTGTTGAGACTTGGATGTTTTTGTAAACAGTAAAGAAATAAATTGGCTGTGTTTTCCAGAGGCTGCGC